TATTTTGGGGACTCACCGGTCGTTGAAACACCCGGCGTCAGCTTGGCATGTATTCCAATCCAACTCCAACAATTCCACTTTTCACGTTGATCTTCTCTATTCGTGCAGTACCAAAGGCCGGCCGCCATGATGGATGTGCGCAGAGAAGTTGCGCACTAGCCATGTTTTTGGCAATTGCACTTTTTCTACGTCTCGATTCTATAATAATGCAATAATACAGTCTGAGTTTTTGTGATAAAATCCTTTCTTGCCATGAATGTTAACTGATTATTGCATGAAAAATAATTATTTCCCCGGTTTAATCCCCTTTCTCACCGAAAATCCGCGGACGAACGCCAAAACCTCCATCCTCTGCCAATGACCCGCCGCCATGTTGAATGTGCGCGGAGGAGTTGCGCAATAGNATGATTTTTTTGACATTGCACTCTTTATACGTCTCGATTCTGCAATAATGCAATAATAAAGTGTGATTTTTTGATAAAATCATTTCTTGCCATGAATGTTAGCTGATTATTGTATTATTAATAATTATTTCCCCGGTTTAATCCCCTTTCTCACCGAAAATCCGTTGACGAACGCCAAAACCTCCATCCTCTGCCAATGACCCGCCGCCATGTTGAATGTGCGCGGAGGAGTTGCGCAATAGCGAAATTTGGCATTCCACTTTTTAGAGGTGTAGGCTTCATAATATGCCCTAATAAAGTCTGATTACTTGATAAAATCACTGCCTGCCATGAATATTAACTGATTATTGCACTATTAATACTAATTTCCCGGGTTTAATCCCTTTTTCTCACAGAAAATCCGCAGACAAACGCCAAACCCTCCATTCTCTACCAGTGGCCAGCCGCCATGATGAATGTGCGCGGAGGAGTTGCGCAATGGCGAAATATAGTATTGCACTTTTTACCGATCTAGGTTTAATAATATGCACTAATAAAGTCTGATTTCTTGATAAAATCATTCCCGGCACTCAATATAACTGATTATTGCACGATCAATAAGTATTTTCCCAGTTTAATCCCTTTTCTCACTGAAAATCCGCGGACGAACGTCAAAGCACCTATTCTCTGCCAGTGATCAACTGCCATGATGGATATGCGCGGACACATTGCGCAGTTGTCATATTTGGCGAATGGTAGCTTTCTTATATATGACTTGCATTTATAATTGTATACGATAATAATAAACTCTCATTTAATTAACATAAACAAACAACTAGAATTGTCAAATTACACTGGAGAACACGTGATTCAGAAGAAAACCTCAAAATAGGGAAGATGAAGGTGGAATGAGCCATTTTCAATCATCACTAACTTGAGACTGGCCGAATGAAATTGATGGAATTAAAAAAAAAATTCTTCTATTTTGAAGGTATTTTTACAGACTTGAAAATGAGTTGTGTTCTTCCCAGTCAATCCCTCTCAATTCCTCAATAATGTCTCCGAAATAATTGACTGAAAATTTACAAAATAATGCAAAAAGTTCTGTTTTGTAGCTGACAAAATTCCTTAATCAACAATTCGTAAAAAATAGTTCATAACTCTTTTCCAAATATTAACATAAATGATCTGGAATTTTAATAAATGACGAAGTAGAATTCATCAAAATATCAATACCCGTTGAAGTTGTCTGAGATATTTCCAGTTTTAAATTTGTAAAAAAAAAAAAATCGGTTACACTTTCCATCACATAATCTATATGTATATGGAAATATTATAGAAGAAATTCAACTCCATAATGCAAAATATACAAAGCTCTGTATGAAAATTTTATTGGAATGTTTATTGTAATAAAAAACTTATTAATTCAATAATTGTAAACCATTAGTTGAGGTGAACATAGTATAGATTTTGCGGCTCAATTCCGAACCAGTTTTCCTCAACTTAGACAATTCTCCAGGGCCTCTTCTGATCTGAAAAAAAAAGAAAACAAAAATTACGTTACTTGTAAAGCGTTATTATCAAGGCATTTTTTTTTACTATGAATCCTCACGCGGGTGAATATCTTTCAACAGTGCTTTCCCTTTTTCGGCTGAATATAGTTCATACGACTGGAATAATAAAAGAGAAAAATGCCTTCAATAATTTTGCAACATAAAGAGCAACCATGTTTACTTGTTACCTTCATGAGCTATGTGATGGGCTCGAATATGTTGTACAAATTGCCTCAACCATAGTCTTCTTAATCCAAAGCCATCACCATCCACTTTTATTGTATTTTTATTATCACCGATCGCATAAAAGTCAAAGTTTCCTTCGACATGAGTCTTTCTCATCGCAATTTTATGTGGAATTTCAACAATAGCTTTTTAGTACGTTGATGAATCATTGAGCTCATGTCTTATTGTGAATTTTCAATTAATACAATATTACAATTGAGAGTGATCTGTGCTTCAACTAATGAACATTCAAAATCTTTTTTGGAAATTTTTGGTAATTCGACAGAAACAATGGCTTATTTTAATGGCAACGGACAAAAACGGAAATTTTTTCCGTGGAAATTTTTTCAGGAGAAATTTTTTCCGAGAAATTTTATCCGGGGAAATATTTTCCGATCCTCAACAGGTATTAATTGATCGTGTGGAATGAGGATCCTTATGATCAATTTGCTCCTGTCACCCTTGTGACCCTCCAAAAGTTACTCCCCGGTCATTTACTCTGAGGGTAGAGTTGAGATACTAACAGTAATGGTCAGTGAATTCCTATGAATCCTCTTCAGTTCACATTGCTATCAACTCTGGATCTTCTCATCTTCTCTGGTCAAGCTGCCACTTGCATTCAAAACTTATTCAATTAGATGGATGGTTCCATCTTTGTTAATTTCAAAGGGGTCCATAAATAACAAAAGAGAATGCAAATGTGCATATAATGTCTTTTTCTTCATTTTTTTTACACAAAAAATCCAATCGCTTAATGATAAAGTTGTTTGAAATATCCGCTGCCTACAATGATTAATTATCAAACCTATGTGAAATTACTCTAGCCACAAACGGTGAACAACTAGTGACACAATAAAAAAATGCACTTGAACAACCATTACGGTATGATGAGCTGAAGAATAATACAGGTACACTGCAAAATATCTCAATAATAATCACTGCCAAAATGCACTCCTTCCGCATTTCCGACACTCAAATTACATCTGAATAAATTTGTCGTGAACACATAACAGGGAGGACTTTGTAACAAGTAGTTATTGCGAAAATTCCAACGAATTACATGCAAAATCAATTATTGCTCTTTTTCTCATTGTGAACATACACAACCGTATTTGTTTTTTTTTTTAATGTGGCCATGGACAAAGTTGTTCTTAATTTTTGGCAAAATAAACACTAGTGTTTTCTATCGTTTAATCATAGAATTCTCTCGTAGAATAGTAAATATGCCTCGCTTTTCAGTACACTTGCCTCATCGACCTCCATTACTCTGAAAAAAAAAAAAAAATAAACATATTTTAAAATAATAAATAACCTCTGAAGGAGGATAGTGTTAATCCAACTATTCCATCAATTAAAACAGCGATTATTGCAATATATTTTTATTGAGTATCGCGGGACCGTCGATTTTGGAAAAAAAAATAAAAAATTGAAATATTGTAAAAATTGCATCTTCGGACTTTTTGGATCATAATAATAATGGGTTGGTATAACACACAAAAACCTAAAACTTGAAGCTTACACCTTCGGAAACAAAAATTACAACTAAAAATGAATATTTAAACAGTGTCTTGAATTATAATAAATGAAATATGAATTAAATACCTGGAGTCTGAGACATGATACCATCTCCCAGGAGGTGGTTGAACCTTCTCCGCATTAACCTCATCTATTCTTGCCGATTCCCTCGAATTCTCCTGCTCAACATCATTAGCACCAGCCTTCGGCAAGAAGGCCCACCTGGGATCGCTGGCATCGAGTGGCTGCCTTGCCTTGACATAAGCTACATAGTGACCCCCATGCAACGTCCCACTATGCTCGACCACTCCATAAAGCGAGTACATCTTCAACTTGTCATGATACTTGCAGACTGGAGCTAGATTAAGAATAATCGGAAATGCAACGTGTTTGGTAACTTTTCTGAAGCCAAATCTTTGTGACTGGAACCTTTTCAAGTGGAGTATCAGAACGGCAGGTACTCGTGAAATGAGGTACTGCTTCGTACTGGAGGTACACACAATCTTGCCCTTCTTTCCTTTATTCTCCCTAGCAGTACAAGCTTCGCAGCCAACTTTATTGCTCCCACTCATCAATTCCCTGGCTGTAAATTGATTGAGACATGACTGGATTGAGCACTCGCCACTAGCTACTTGATAGCTGGAGATAGTTGGAGACTGCGGTGCAGTGACCGATAACTTTGATAATCCAGTCGTCATATCATTCACCCCATTTCGTTTGTCAGTGTGTTTTTTCACCGAATTCTCAGTCTCAGGACCAGATCGACATTCGTCAGTCTCGGCCTCTGAGAAAGTATTTTTTGTTTGATCCTCTTTATTATTAATTTTATTCTCCGGGTCATCGTGATTTACCACAATTTTCCACATCAATTTCTCTTGAGAACTCGACATGGGACTAGTGGGGCTCTCCTTGGACGTCATTGGACTGCTGAGAGGACTGACAGTAACCCCTTCAGGACTCAATTCAGAGTTAAAGATGATTGACGTCGACGAGAGATTTGGCAGGGCCGCAGTAGCTGAAAAATTATACATCAATTTACTATTATTTTACACGTAAATTACACATCACTGACCAGGAATTGTTGATGGCACAAGATGAACAGAAAAAAAAAACAATTTTCTCTCACTGTGATTATTCAATTAATTGATTTAAAAAATAATTATGATTCCAAAGCTCTTGCTTGAATAACATAACTATAGGGGAGAGTGGGGCAAAATAAAACAGTCAAAAAACGACTGTGTGATGCAATTCAAGCAGTCAATGGATTAATTGGAAAAAGAAAATGAAACAGAAAAATCCAACGTCCAGAGCAAGACCCAGGAGGAGACCACCACCCCGAGGGGGAAAAAGGAAAATGTCATTTCCATTCTAATGAATGGTAAATTATTATTCTCATCACTACTCCGAAGAATAAAAAAAAGTTGACAAAAAACAAAAAAAAATTTAATAAAAAAAATTTTTTTCGCTTGAATTGCGTCAAACAGTGTTTTTTTTTTTTACTGTTTCATTTTGCCCTACTTTCCCCAATCCTCCCTCTTGCCAAATTACTTTGACTTTGTCACTTTAAAGTGGTGAGAAAATGGTAATTTTACATTCCTACCTAATAACTGCCCTTGCGCCTCAATATCTAATTCCAATGAAGCATAATTCTTGAGTCTCGTCGATTCCGAGAATTCCAAGGGTGTAGGAGGATTGCCATTAGTCTGATTCAACTCATCATCTCCACTGGGAGACACTGGACTGGCAACAGTTGACACTTTCTCCGAACTGTAACCAGACTCGATCACCTCCTGCGGCGTCATTCCATCATTCTCTATGTTATCTTCTACATCAGCATCACTCTCCTCAGACTCTGCATAACTCGCCTGGTCCTCCTCCATGTTATTCTGGCTCATTGACGATTTATTGGTATTGGAGTTGTGATGGTTCTTCCTATTTTTTCTAGCAGCCTTCTTCTCCTTCTTCATTTGATGCTTTGAAGGTTGATTGGTGATGTTATTGCCCATGAGGTCGAAACTATCGTCGAGACCACTGTTCCTGCGTTTTCCTACAACTGGGGGCTGGGGTTTCTCCATGAGGACTGGGAGTGAAAGATCAAGGAAGGGTTCTGTACGTTGAGACGAGTGATGGCAGTCTAGGCACTCAAGGGTCGACACCAGAACCCCTCGAAAGACAGGTTCTGAACCCAGATGTCTAGCATTGGCCTGATTTCCATAGAATTTCACTTGCGCTTTGATAGTTCCATCAATAGCTTGCCGCTTTGACTTATCATCGAGACCGATCTTCTTGAGAATGACTGCTTGGTACCTCCTAACGTCGTCATTCCTCACTTGTTCCAGAAGATGTCGAAGGAGTTCGTGGGCATCATGCTGGCCACCATCCATGCATTGGGACGTCTTCTTCTTAAAGGAATTGAGGAGTTCGGAGGGCCTGTATGTTTGATTGTTATCAGCTGTCTGCATATCTGTTAATGTCTTCCATAAAGTCGCTGTAAAGTTGCCCCATCCCTCGAGTTTTCCCTCTATGGGGGGCAGCTCCATTTCTTGAGCGTCCTCTGAGGGCTTGCATTTACCACCTGGAAGAATAAATTTAGCGTCTGGCTCTCGTAAATCTTCTAGGACTTTGACCAGGAAGGGAGTTTGCGCTAGGCACTGGAGGACTGAGTTGAAGAAACAGGTGTTTCCTAGGTTCATCAATCCACCGACTCTCGTTAGATTAGTTAAGGGCTTCTGTTGCTTGTCTTTGGTGGATGGAATGTTGTCGTTTGACTTATTTTCAATTGACGGCAAGGGGATTGCGGGCTGAGGTGGGGTGTAGGTTGTCGTGGCGAGTTTCTTTATGAATTCAACCATTTCGAGCAATTGTTTTCTGGAAAATTATTAGAAAGAGTTGGTTCTATCATTAATTAAAAATTTTTTCTATTAAAACATTTTTAGATTTTTTTTTTTTTTTTTTTTTTTTTTTTT